AAGATTTCGAGACTACTGATAGATATTTAATAAGAGCTTTAGGCGCCATTGGTCGTCTAATGTGATAAAGGGCTGATATCGAATGTTCCCAAAATGCAATTACCTTTTAATTGAAACGAGGCAAAGTGAATTTCAATTACATCGTTAGGCCTAATTATGGCATTTTCGAAAAATCCTCTATTAGTACTTCATTTTATTGAGCGGACTATAGTAACTCAATCTGTTACGCATGACAATGTATAGCTCCGAACCTTAGATCAAATCCATTTCCAAGCGTTTCGCTGATACTGTCACTTAGCTCTGGCATGCTCAGCGATCAGCTAAAACTCGTCAGAGGTAAGTGATGACTCTTTCTGCTGATCTATTTGTTATCCATCCTAGAGCATCCGCCTTTCCCCTATCCTCATATTTGACTTGATCACGATCACAGCGAGCCTGTTTAGTCTGTACCATTCTAGGTGAATGTACCGGAATAGAAGGGGGAGACTTGCTACGGCTGTTCATCCAAAAGATGACACAGGGAGGAGCATCAATTGTCTAGATGACGAGTAGCTAGGCACCTAAAATGAAAGGGTTGACTGACAATGTCGGAGAAACATTTGGAAGCTATCAAGTATACATTTAGACGTTAGAAATTACCGTGACTATTATGACAGAGGAATTCGGAGAAGGTAAATTATTATAGGTCGCCCTGACACGATAAGCAAAGTGCTAAAAAATATTACGTAAGGAGACTACAGCCAAAATAGTGGTCCTACTATTTTGTTCTTCATATCTACGATATAAAAAAGTTCGTGTATTCGAATTAAGTCAGGAGGCAGTGATAGTCATTAAATTATTCGCATGTATAGGCGCTTAATAGGCTTTGATTAGTAAGGGATCGGATAGTCCGTCTTTGATGTAGAAAAAAGTTGTGGGCTTACCGAGTACTGTTGCCCCATCCGATCAAGACAGGAATTCGACCCAAGTTGGTCCTATTTACATAAGGATATCAACTGGATTATAGAAAGTATACTTCGATAAATAAAGGGGTGTTTATTATAACTCAGATTGGGCATCATCACAAAGCCGTTATACCTTTAGA